ACCAGTAATGGAGGTGGGCTCATCATAGATGAAATATGAGAGGCAAAAGGTGCACAGAAAGCAGAAGAGTTCAAGTTGTACATTGGTCACCAGTGACATGAGAAAGAACTAGAGGAAGGCCTTCAATGAGTTGGGTGGATTCCCTAAAGAAGCACTTAAAGAAAGACATAAAGAAGAATTGCTCAAGATGAGGAGGCATGGAGGGCTGGTGTTCTACACACTGGTACAGATGAAAGGGGAGTTAAGAGGACTTTATAGTGAAGCTCACATTTTAGAACAAAAGTTAAGACAATCTTGGATAAAAACATCCAGAATGGAGCATCTGGACAATGAGAAAGGAGCCAAGAGAGAAGAGAATCACATTAATAATGCTATCATTATTATAAAGATAATAGTAATAATTTATTGAAGTTATTATCTAGGAAGTCTCAAGATTTATTCTCAGCTCTATACTCAGGATGAAAAGCAGTCCCTGGCCAGTTTTACGAGAGCTTCATCTGAAAGGGACTTGACCGACATAAAACATCAATTACTATTATTATGACTATCATTACTTAGACCATTCTCAAAAATATATATGTATATCTTCTTTTCCTGGTCTCCTCCTCCTCCCAAGCTGCTAGCTAGTGCCTTCTCCCATGAGATGATCTTCTGTATGTCTCTTGTATGTCTTATCCCCTCCATTAGAAAACCCTTTAAGAGCACTGAGTGCTTTGGTCTTTCTTTGTATTGCTAGTGCTTAACCATAGCGTCACAAAGAAAGTACTTAATAAATGTTTATTGACTGACTGCCCCCCTCTACTCACTCCCCTGCCCTCCAAAGGGTCCATGTATAGATTTCAAATGGTCTGTGAACTTGGATGGGAAAAAGTTACATCTTTATTTCAATTTAACTGGTTCTCTCTGTAATAATATTTATTCTATTTTATGCAATTAAAGGCATTATTCTATAAAGATAGGCTTCACCAAACTGCCAGAGGGGAGTATCACACACACACACACACACACACACACACACACACACACACACACACACACACACACACTCACTCACTCACTCATTCACAAAGGTTAGGAACTTCTGTTCTATAAGGACATAAATACACAATTTTAATTCAGTTCAATTCAACATTTACTAAGCATCTATTATGTGCAAAGCATTTTGACCCCACTTAGGGACATTAAGATATTCATGACATAAACCCAACTTCCAAGCACTTTACAATAATTAAGGGGAAAGACAAGTGCATAAATAAACATGATATAAGGGAGAGCATGATAAGAACAAAGGATCGGGCAGGGCAAAGAGCCATGAGACTTATAAGAAGAAATAACTTTCACCTGGGAAGGCTTCATGGCAGTCGTGGCCGTTGACCCTGGCCTTGAAGGAAGAAACTTTATGAGGTAGGAATGGGAAAGGGGAAATCCATTCCTGTAGTGGGAGTCAGTATGAGCAAAGGCATGGAGATGGACATACATACAAACAGTATGAATAGCCAGTAAAGTAAAGGGGTGGGGGGAGGTGTGAGGGGAGCTAGTTTGATTGGAAAGTAGTGTCCACAAAGAAGTAAACTGAAACATGCCCGGAGAGGCTGGAGCCAGATTATGGAAGGCCTTAAATATGAGGATCAGAAGTTTACACCTTATTAGATAGCTAATGGGAGCCCCTGATGATTTTTGATTGGAAAGAAGACTATCAGAACAGTGCATCTGGAGAATTACCTGGTCAGCAGTGTCGATGATGGATTGGAGAGGGGTTAAGAACAGGAGGCAGAAAGACCACTTAGGAGACCATTATAATAAAGGTGAGATCTAAAAGTATGAACTAAGGTAGTTGCAGTAAAGAGAAAGAGACAGAGATATTGAAGAGTGAGAACTGGACGGATCTGATAACTGAGTAGACAATAACTTGAAAATCTAGCAGGGTCAGAGTATTTTTCCCAGAAGTTTATTAGATGAAACAAGATGATAGTTTGAGAGGGCTAAAAGGTCCAGAGAAGATTTTGTTTTGTTTTATGCTCTTTTTTAATTTAGGAGAGGAGAGAATGGAAGATGTTTGTAAGTAGGTTGGAAAGAGGCCATGGAGAATGATAGAGTAGGGATGGAGGAATGGCATCTAGGGCACAGGTGACTAGGATAACTTTGGCAAAGAGGGGAATTATCCTCTGAGGTAAGGCAGAATGACAGCAGGAGTCAAAACAGGAAGGTTTTGAGATATGACTGAGAGGAGATGAAAGAACTTTTAAGTGTGATCCCACCTGATTTTTCCAGTCATTACTTGCAGTTTGGGCTTCATTTCCCTCCCTTCAGAGTCTTGTTATTTCATCTAAGTACTCTCTTCAATGGTAGACATCCTAACTCCTCCACACCTTAATTAGATGCATTACTGAGTTGTTATGCGTGACTTCCTCCAAAAAAAGAAAAAATAGTACTTAATGGTACAATCTTCTGGTCTCTCCAAATTCAGGTAGGCTTATCTTTGAATAAGAGGTATACCAATACCTGATGACTTTGCAATTTGATAGGACCTCAGAGTTTTTGTTCTGCTGGTATCTCCTTTAGAAGATACCCTGGCTGGTCATTTATTTTTATTTTCACAAAAGAACTAAAAGAGACAGTGTGAAGCAGTGGAGAAAAGTTGTGACTTTGACATGGTTACATTTCGGTTAGAATTCTATTGGTACTACTTTAATTCCTGTATGAACACCAACAGATCATCTGCTTTCTCATTTGCAAAATAAGATTGGACCAGAGAATTTACAAGCTTCCCTAGATGTATGATCTTAAGAACTCTCAGATGCAGAAACAACACAGTGAGTCAGTAGAATTCAAGTGATTAGCCATGCTGGCTACCAAACACGGAAATTGTTATCCAAGATTTGATTTGATTTGATTTGATTTGAACTGATTGAGAAAGAAGATGGTAGCTCCTTTGTAATAAATAGCTGAATGTTGGCTCTTTCTCCTCTTTTCTACAAAATAATTTTTGAAGATTGTGGGTAAAATGTCACAGCATGATGCCAGTTAGTATAGGAGATTAGGTTGATGAGGAGACTCAAAATAATTTCTTACAAGGAACGATTGAAGGAACTGGGGATGTTTAGCCCAGAAAAGTAAAAAAATGTTAGGAGGATATGTCCTCAGATCAGAGGACTTGGGTTTGAACCCCAGCTCCAAGTAAATGCCATTTCTTATCTGTGTGGCCTTAGGTAAATCACTTAACCTTTCTAGACCTAGCTTTCCTGTGTGTAACTAAATGATTTCTAAGGTTCCTTCCATTTCTAAGTCTGTATTCCTAAATATTTGAAGATCTGTCCTGCGTAAGAGGGATTAGATTCGTTCTGCACAGCTCTTAAAGCCAGGAACTTGAACAAATGAGTGGAAGCTAAAGAGAAGTGTGTTTTGGCTTAAGGCAAAGTAGACTTTTCTTAAAATTAGAGCTGTCTGTACGTGGAATGAGTAACTTAATGAAGTAGTGAATTCTCTCTCAGGAGAAGTGTTCAACTAGATGCAAGGTTTTACAGAAGTGGAATCTTGCATATCTTCCAGATGACTTTTTTTTTTTGAGGCAATGGGGATTAAGTGACTTGCCCTGGGTCACACAGCTAGTAAATGTCTGAAGCTGGGATTGAACTCTGATCATGGGCCCATGACCTCTCCACTGGGCCACCTAGCTGATCCTCCAGCTGACTTCTAAAGTCACTTCAACTCTAAGATTTTTTAGATAAGATGGGTAGGGATAGAGATTAGACCTGTGATTTCATTGGCAGAGGGAATTCCTATATGGAGAAACTCTCTCCATTGATTAAAGTCAGAACCTGCTCTTTTAACTTACAGAACTAAATTTAACTAGAGTACTGAAAAGTTAAGTGACTTATTCAGGGCCACCCAGCCAGTATGTCAGAGGTAGGAACACCTTTGAGTAAAATGATTCTATATCAATTCTCACTATTATTAGCCTGTTTTCTTTCCAAATCCTAACTTTATGGTTGGACCTGAAAGTTATTTGCATATTTTTAAGAATCTCATATTACAAAATCATGGGAACTAGACCTGGGAGGGACCTTTGCTATCATCTAGTCTCACCTCCTTTTACACTAGAGAAGGAAGGTACTGGGAATTATTTACATTGTAACAGACAAACATGAATGATCTGGTCGCATTCTAAAATTCAAAGAAAACAATAAACCGACCAGGCAGGAAAACATCTTTCAAAACAATTTTTCAAGGAAACTTAAGAGCAGAAACACTGGTTAAACACGAAATTCTCTTGCTTGGTATTCTGAGGGTTCATAAAATGTATGAAGTAAGTTCGAATTTTGCTTTCTGGAAGAGGCAAAGAGCTGCTTTCTAAGAGTACCAAAATGTGGAGAGCTGAGAGAAATACTGCTCTCCAGTATCTGCTGAGATATAGCATTTAAGCATCTGATCCAAGTCCAAGCAGAGCAAGACCAGATGACTAGGTAGATGAGAAAATTAGCTGGGTGGAGAGGTGATGAGATGGCTAGAGAGAAAGATGGAGAGAAACATGGATGCAGTGGTAGAATGGGGGTATGGGGGCTGGGGGTGCGTGGGGATGGGGGGGGAATAAGGGGATACGCCATTATGATAACAGCAGGATGTCTTCCCACCCTATCTCCTTGTAGATGAACGAACACAGCGAAAATACCGAGGGAGAGAAGTAGATTTAATCCAGAAACTGGGGATGTAATCGCAAAGGAAGCCAGCCTTTGGTAATCAAGTCCCAGTAAAGGGATTTGCTGGGTGAGGGTGCCACCCTAGGGACATGTGTCGCTCCTCCTGTCGATCACCCCCTCCCCCGATCCTAATTCTCGGTTCCCTTCTGCCCAAAGATCCGGCTGGACTATGGGCTGGAGCCCAGGGGGGGAGTTCTGCCCAGGCGTCCTCGCTCCGCCACTGCCCCTGGAGGGCTGGAGGGAGGGATCCAGGGTGAGGGCATGGGGGAAGCCCTGGCCTCGGTGAGCAGCTGGCTCACTTACCCGCGTACAGGGAGCCCTGGTCCCGCAGGCCGCCCGCCTCTGGGCCGCTGTCCTGTTCCCCGGGGCTGAGCCCGGCGGCTGTAGCGGTAGCTGAGAGCTGCAGGTCTGTGTCCGTGTTAGTCAACCAGGTGGATTCGGTCTCTCGGGTCCAGCTCTCGTAGTAGCGGGGCTCGATGGCATCGGCACGGCTCCCTCCGCAGCCCATCCTCCTTCACCTCCTCCTCTTCCTTTCTCTCTCTCCTCCAACTCCAGTCCCGCTTCGGACTCCTTTGGCGGTTGGGTTTGGCTAGACTGAGCCTTCACCCACAGCAGTGGAGCCCAGGGTAGGCAGGCAGCAGCAGCATCGCCCGCCGCCGCCAGCACCGCCGCGGTCCCTGAGCCCAGCACCCTGGCAGACTCAACCCCGGAGCTCTCTGCTCTCCGCGCCCCGCGCTGTGCTCTCCCCCCTCTCCTCGCCTCTCTCTCCTCCTCGCTCTTCTCCAAAGCCCGCCCGCTGCCGGCCCCCCTTCTCTCTCTCCCCATCAGTCTCTCGCCCCCTCGAGGGCCCCTCCCCTTAGCTGCTTCTCCTTCACTGGAGAAGTGTCTCCACAATCCCCTTGTGCTCCGTTTGTCCTCCTCACTCCTGCGCTCTTCACATGGTCAGCCAGGGGTGGAGCTGAGGGGACCCTCACAGTCAGTCTAGCTCCTGGGATTGGATCTGGCCCCCTCTGGCTCCAGTTACCTGCCCAAGACTTCTCCCTAGCCTCAGATGCTCCTGGAGCCCCGGGTGTAGGAGGATTCCACCCCCCCACCCGCGGGCTAATACCTTGATGGGAACATATTTTTGCCACCGATCACCTGTGGATCAAGTACTGTAGCTGAAACAGCCAGCACGAGGGGGAACGCCTGAAGGGAAATAAGGAGACCACTAAACAGAAGTAAGGAACCGTGAGAAAGATCCGCACGTGCCCATAGCTGCGAAGGAAGAGCTGTTGTTTTCATTGTACTAAGCCTGGAAGAGCTAGGTTCTCAGGCAAGGAAACTCCAGCTCTTGGTCAGAGCTGTCTTTTCTCTCGATCTGAGCTACAAAAGGGGGGGGGGGTGTCTTTATCACTCAAACCTAAAGAGCCCGTTCTGAGAATCTGTGGAAGAGTATATATCTTCTCAGATGCCAATACTCAACTGCGGGGAACATAGCCAGGGGCTCCTTCCTAGAGTGCCTTTCCCTACAAATAGTTAGTTGGGTGTGCCGACTGAAAGACCCTTTCTGACAAATGACCCAATTCAGTTCAATAAATATTCTTGTAGCACCTGTAGGAACTGGGCTGAGATGCTGGACCCAGAACAGGAAGTAGGAGAATGAACCCCTTGAATGGGTCTTAAGAAAAGACACAGGGATAGGAGGAAGAAAGGAATCACATCTGTTGTAAACTGTATCCTGCTGTCCAATACAAATTCTTTGTGGAAGTTCACTTGAGGTTCAGTGGTGATGCTGTGTGCCGGGTTAAGTACAGATTTTGATTGCTGGACGGAAGTAGGACAATATTGCCAGATTCTGCACTACCACTAGGTTCTTTTCAGTAATGCTCCTGTGTTTATATGAATGGCAACCAGGATGTGATGGGGTTGAAAGGAATACCCTTACCCCAGCTCCACTCAGGCCTTTTGAAGGTTTCCTAAGTAAATTCCCTAGGAAGATATTGAGAAAACCCAGGCTAGCAGTCCAGGGCATATAAGACAAAAGAAAATTTCAGAACATCACTCTGGTAAAAGTTTGGAAGAGAGGATCAGAGTGGCATCAGGAGAGGAAAAAAAAGTTCAAATACCTAATTTCTCTGGCTAGCTGTCTGGGTGTGGATGGCTGGTGTCTGAAACCACAAAATAGTTAACTAGAGGGCTGTCAAGCAAAAGAATCTCCAAAGAGGAGCAAAAGTCCTATAGCAGCAGGGGACCAGAAGATGTCAGCAGAGAGTAGCAGAGAGGAGCACAGTGGAGAGGACCAGAGGACCCCAGCTTATCCAAGAACGAAGCTTGTCCCGGGATGGCACCACAGTGAAGGAGCAGCTCTGTGGGACATCAAGCAGTGTCGGAGGTGTGAGTTGCCCCAGCAACATGTGTGGTTTCTACTACTTGTATTGCCAATGGTACATTCTTGGCTTGTGTTCCTTCTCTCAGGGTTAGTGTATGTTTGTGGAAGAATATATAGGTCCTCAGTTGACAATATAGGCCCAGTTGTCAATTCTTGTCCCTTGCCTTTCACATGACTAATACCTTTGTTTAGGCCATTATTACCTCTTGCTAAGAACACTGTAGTACCCTCCTAATTGGTCTTCTTGCCTCCAGTATCTCTCTTCTCAAACTATCCTCCACATAGCTGCCAAAATGATATTCAAAAAGCACACTTGGGGCAGCTAGGTGGCACAATGGATAGAGCTCTGGCCTTGGAGTTAGCAGGACCAGAGTTCAAATCCAGTCTCAGACACTTGACACTTACTAGCTGTGTGACCCTGGGCAAGTCACTTAACCCCAATTGCCTCACCAAAACAAACAAACAAAACAAACAAACAAACAAAAAGCACATTTGTCACTCCCATGTTCAGGAAGTCTCAGTAAATTACAACTTCCTCTAGGTTAAACTATAAACTCATCTGCTTGGAATTTAAAGCCCATCTTTTGGCTCAAAGCAACTGATTTCCTAGTCTGATTTCCTCAAGTCTCTCTTCATTGTGAACTCAACATTTCAGTCAAACAGGTGTATTTGCTCCCACACAACTTTCCATCTCCCACATTACATCTTTGCATGGATTGTCCCCACCTCACTTTATTCATGGGAAACTTTCCTCCCTCACCTCCACCTCTTGGAATCCCTACTTCCCTTCAAGATTTGCCTTAAGCACCACTTTCTAAAAGCAGCCTCTCCTGATCTCTCTAGTTGTTAGTCCTCTCCTCCCTTCCCATATACATTTACTTCATATTCCTTTGTATTTAGAAGCATCATAGCATAATGCCTCTAGCTAAATATCAAGTCTAGCCTCTAGACTTCTAGCTAAATATCAAGAAGACCTTGGGTCAAGTCCAACCTTTGACATATATTAATTGCTGGACTGTGGGCAAGTTGCTTAAACTGTTGGTGGCCCAGACAACCCTCTAACATTGTAAGTTGCATAACAGTTACTAATCTGTATTGATCAGGTAAATTTCTTCACCAGGCTAGATTACAAGCTCCTTGAGGGCAGGAGCTTATTAACACAGGTTAGCATACAGTAGATACAATAGATGCTTGTTGTTTGCTTGATATGACAATGACTCAAGGCCCCCATCATCTCGGCTGCCTTCTTCTGGATGCTTTCTAGCTCTTCAGTGTCCTTCAGAAATTGTGGCACCTGGAACTGAACACAATACTCCAGCTCTGAGCGGGTCAGAGTACAAAGGGTTTTTCACCTTCTTATTCCTTACAGCTATGCTTCTCTTATACTTTTTTGGTTACTTGTTGAGATCTCTCACACATAACATTTGAACTCCTGTCTCTGCCTTTTCACCAGCTGTTCCCATGCCTGGAATAGTCTTCCTCCTCATCTCTGCCTCACAGTTTCCCTAATTTCCTTCAAGAATTTACTCAAATCGGGGTGGAGTCAAGATGGTGGAGTGAAAGCAGCAACTTACTTGAGCTCTCTCCCAAATCCCTCCAAATACCTATAAAAATGGCTCTAAACAAATTCTAAGGCAGCAGAACCCACAAAAAGACAGAGTGAAACAAATTTCCAGCCCAAGACAACCTGGATGATTGATCAGAAAGGTATATCACACTGGGCTGGGAGCAGAGTGAAGTGCGGCATAGGCGCACAGGCCGCAGGGAACCTGGAGCAGGCCTCAGAGGAATGAATCACCAGCAGCTGTGGCAGTTTCCAGGCTCCTCAATCCACGAATGCCAAAGACAACTTAGAAGGTCAGTGGGAAAAGTTTGCTTCTGCGGTGCTAAGAGAGGAAGGTGGGGTCTCAGATCCAGTTCCCCAAGAACGTGGCCCTGGGGTGGGCAGCTGCTTCCTGAGCTTCCGGCCTACAGACTGAGGGGGAATCGAGTGGCTGATCAGAGGGGGATTGCAGGGATCACTCTGCTGATGCCGAGGCAGGAATCTCTTGCTTTGCCCTTGCTTGGATCTGGGTCACAGTTCTGGACCAGGGTCCTGGGGTGAGGAAGAGTGCTGGCATGGTGGAGCTTGTAGTGGCTGTGGACAGGAAACCTTCCTCACAGTTCCAGGACAGAAAGGAGTGCTTGTGGTCACTAATAGACCACAGCACAGGCCAGGAAAGGAGTAAACACCTCGCCCCTTATCATACCACCTTGCAAGAACTGAAAATTTACTGGTCCCTACAAGTATCTCTGAAAACAGCTACACAAACCCCCCGAAACTTGGGACAGTACATTCTCCACTTTGGAAGCAGACTCTTACCTTAACAAAGAGTTTAAAACTCAAGTAACTGGCCGGTATCATGAGCAAGCAGCACAAAAAGAGTCAGACTATATTATCTTACTTTGGTGACAAAGAATATCAAAATATACAACCAGAAGAACAACAAAGTCAAGCTCCTACATCCAAAGCCTCCAAGAAAAATATGAATCAGTCCCAGGCCTTGGAAGAGCTCAAAAGGGATTTTGAGAAGCAAGTAAGAGAAGTAGAGGAAAAACTGGAAGAGAAATGAGAGTGATGCAAGAAAATCATGAAAAACAAGTCAACAGCTTGCTAAAGGAGACCCAAAAAATACTGAAGAAAATAACACCTTAAAAAATAGCCTAACCCAAATGGCAAAAGAGGTCCAAAAAGCCAATGAGGAGAAGAATGCCCTAAAAAGAAAAATTGGCCAAATGGAAAAGGAAGTCCAAAAGATTACTGAAGAAAATACTTCCTTAAAAATTAGAATAGAGCAATTGGAGCTAGTGACTTTATGAGAAATCAAGACACTGTAAAACAAATCCAAAAGAATGAAAAAATAGAAGAGAATGTGAAATATCTCATTGGAAAAACAACTGACCTGGAAAATAGATCCAGGAGAGAGAATTTAAAAATTATTGGACTATCTGAAAGCCATGATCAAAAAAAGAGCCTAGACATCATCTTTCAAGAAATTATCAAGGAAAACTGCCCTGATATAGTAGAACCAGAGGGCAAAATAGAAATTGGAAGAATCCATTCGATCTCCTCCTGAAAGAGATCCCCGAAGGAAAACTCCTAGGAATATTGTAGCCAAATTCCAGAGTTCCCAGGTCAAGGAGAAAATATTACAAGCTGCCAGAAAAACAATTCAAGTACTGTGGAAACACAATCAGGATAACACAAGATTTAGCAGCTTCTACATTAAAGGACCGAGGGCATGGAATATAATATTCCAGAGGGCAAAGGAGATAGGATTACAACCAAGAATCACCTACCCAGCAAAACTGAGTATAATCCTTCA